TTTTGGGTGACTGTAAAACAAAACTAAAACAACCAGCTAACAGTCGCGGCTTAAAGCCCTTAGGCCCGTCCGGAAACAGCAAAGGACAACAAATTTTGTGAAATGAAACTGTTTATGGATATTTATCATCATGTAATCGTAAAGCCTCTTACAACTGATCTCTCAGAAGTTTACCGCTGAGGAGCCACCTCGTGAACTTGTGCTCCCAAGTGTGATTGGTCAGGATGCAAAGAACCAGCAACACGCATATACCGTCTCAAACATTCAAATAAATAAATAAATAAATAAATAAATAGATAGATAAATTTTACAATATTTAGAGAGGAAGCCACATCAGCCTTAGGCGTGGTTTTCATGCAGGTCCTCTATCCTGATTGAATTGAAATTTGGAGTGTTCGTTTTTGTGGACGAAGGAAAACCGGAGAACCCAGAGGAAAACCCTTGGAGCAAGGCACAACTCAAGCCACATATGGCACCGGGGCGGAATCGAACCTGGGCTACATTGGTGGGAGGCGAGCGCTCTCACCACTGCACCATCCCTGCTCGCCATTCCAGGAAATATCAAGAACCCGGTCGATTTATTTGCATGGTTGTTATGCCTGATGGAAGTTGGCTCATTCGAACAACCCACAAAACCAGTGAATAGTGTTTTCACGCATTCTGATTGACTTGCAAAATATATTGGACTGCAACAGACGTCTTAAAATGACCTAAAATCAGGCCAATTTTTACCCGCGTCCGAATTGGCGGCTCGTACATGCTCGTGCCAAAGGAAAGAGAGCCAAAGAAAAAGTAAAGCTGTTAGCTTCTAAGGGCCTATTTATATGATCTCGGTACCCAAGACAACCCTTCCCCCATATAGATGGGGCCAAAAGCTGAAAGCTTTGCCTTCGTTTCCTTGAACTACAAAAAGAAGGGAAAGAAGAGAGAGCCTGGGATCTAGGTTGTTTTGTGTTTTCCCTTGGGGAAATGTAGCTTAGGCGCTCAAAATAACTTCGAGCAAAATAAAGAGAGAAAGCCGGCTTTTTTTTGTTTATATCGATTCCCTTTGTACTTGTTTTTGTTCGCATTCAATAAACGATGGACTAACTGCACTGTTGGTGCGGGCGTTGTACAGTTAAGTTAAGGGTAGGCAATATTCATATTAAATGTACAAATTTAATTTTCTGCTGGAGTAAGTATCGCATTAGACTATTTTTAATCCAAGACTACTTAAAATAAGTGTGCAGTACAATAGCAGGTTATGATCGCATAAGCTTACTTTGGTAGCGATGCTATTGTCGAACAAATGACTATCATTGACCCCCAGTGTGTGCAATTCAGACCGTAATCACGATTAATTACACTTCACCGTCAATAGACTCAAAAGCCTAACTTGAATAAGTGCTATTACACATTAATTAAACCATTCAGAACAGTGGTCATTGAAAACTCGCATAGAGGCGATTTGTTTATTTCGCAGGGATCAAGGGAGAATCACTTCTTTACGATCCTGTAACATTTCTTTTAACTGGACTGATTGCCTGACGAGTGAGTAAGGCTTTCTTCTGCTGGTTTCAGCCAGGTTGAATATTTAGCAGCTCACTGCTCTTTAACAGTCCTTGTTTATCGTAAAACGCACACGGCTTTCAAAAAGGTGCAATAGGTTTCATTGGACTCGCTCCTTGATTGCTTGAAAAGTTTTCTGAACTCTCGGAGACAATTTTCCACAGATAAAGAATTCTGTCGAGTGGAAAAACAGCGAAAGAACGATTCCTTTTGCAAACGTTTTTGTTGTACAATCGAACGAAGGCCTGGCTTGGAATCGAATTGTGGAATAAAAGTGAAGAGTTACTGTTTAGAATATGATGATAGCAGAATCGGGAGAATCGTGTGTAGCTGGAAACTGACAACTAAAAAGATCTTAGGTTCAATAAATTAAATCAGAAAAGTAAATAACATCGCCTACATGCGTAGAATAGCACCATCATAGAATCGGAAGAATTGTACAATTGGAGCCTTCTTTTAAAAGCTTTACCAAATCACGTAATAGAGAACTTAAATAATCGCAAATTCTGAGCCGAAAATTTGTAGTGCTAAGTCAGAGAATATATCTCCTAAATGAGTATATTAGTTCTATTTGCAATACTTTCTAACAGCTTACTTGTTTACTGAGCTCGATATCTCTGAGAAATTACCCACGACATCTCAATTATTTTACGCTGCATGGTAGGTGAGATTTAAAAAGATTCTTCTCTTTGGCTCACGTTTAGCACGGTTCTGTTACGCCATTTTCCAAATCTGTCACTCCGTGTTAAGTTCCAAGTTCATCATCTTCAAGCATGCAACTATTTTATCGAAACTGGCGTATTTTTCGTGGAGAACGCAAAGAAATGAATCCGCCCAGAAAGAGTGCTGAGACGCTCAATTCTTAAAGCTTTTTACTATTCGGGTTTTGGAGACACCGTGATTGTTTTTATTCTTAATTGACGGTTTTCTTTACAGTTGCGCTTTAGTTCACATGGATCCCCGCCTCCGACTGCGCAAGACTTCGAGATGGTGTAACGAGCAACGTGTTCAAAAAGTAATGGCATTAAACAGAAAAGAGGAGACTGATCTTCAACAGAAGCTGGGCCAACTTCAGCGGGAACAAAACCGGCTGAGTCGAGAATTCGACTATGATATCTGGAAAACAAGGCAAGCCTTTAACGCCAGCAAAAGGGTTCCGCCGATCGCAGGCGATTCAAAGTCGCGCGTACGAAGGAACAGCCTGCCTTCTGTGGAGCCCACTAAGGGAATGATGAACGCAAAAAGAAGACATTCAACTGCTTGTGCGCCGCCTGCCAGGATGGTAAAGGAAGGTGGAAGAGATAGCAAGAAAGTAGACGAGGACGTTATGTTCGAAATAGACAACAGTTTCAAGTTTTTATTCATCGCGTTTGGAAATAAACCCAGTACTCCTTCAAGCTCTAATACCGTCAAACTTCCAGAAATAAAGTCGAGTTCGCCCCGAGGGTCTGGTTCTGAGAGTCGCCGCTCAAGCTTGGCTAAAATTCACGGAAGACTTTGGTAAAACAATAATAAGGACAAAGTTCCTCCAAGTACAATCAGCAACGACTGCTGTAAATTAAACAAATACGATACGCAGTAGGTTTCGTAAAACCTTTCCTCTAGGGAAAAAAACACTCTGCAGGCAAACCTCTTGAAAAAAATTGTTCTTTATTCCATGCAGAGAGATTTTTCTTCCATAGACTTTTCTTTGTAAAATATTCTTGTTTGCATACAGTAGGAAGTACCATGCAATACAAATAGCAAAGTGATAGCTCATTTTGGAGAAAATGTATATATGTTTGTTTTGTTATGTTGTCGTGAATGCAAAATAGCTCAAAGTGGAAAAAAAAAACCTTTGACACTGCAAATTAAAAAGTATTGTTTTAAATGAACGTAGATGTCAAAATAATAGTTTTATATAGTTTTACAAAGGCAGATGAATAGAGTTATTTTAATTCTCAACGCCAGGTAGCCATTTTTTATCATTCTGAAGAATTTTGTATGTACATCAGGTGGTGTATGTACTTTTGTCAGCAACGGAATAAAGACATCTATTTGTTTATGATTTTTATGCGCTATATAAAAAAATGCTTTATTAAGTAAGCACGATGAAAAAAATATCTCAAATTAACTCTCAGCTCTAAAATCCTCCAGATGGCCGCAGTCTAATTCAACGTCGACCCTAAACACAACCTTATTCTTGGGACTTAAAGGGACTCATTTACTGTGAGCACCTAACTAAGTTCTTATTGTGAAGGTCCAGGGTGGATTCCGAATTTTGCACTACAATCGTCCCTACTCAAATTACAATGGGAATATCATGGGTGACAAATAACTCCTTAAATTTTGGAGCGAAATTTCTGCCTTAACCCTTTCGCGCCAAGTGTCGTCCCCAGACAACATTTAGAGGGGTAGACAAAGAACTAGTTGTGACGTCGTCAATTCCTAGGTCAGCAGATTGTTTTGATAAACAACTTACTCAGGGGAGACAGAGCTTTTCATACGAGTGTCTATCTTGAACATGCTGACAGAGCTACTAGGAAAACAAATGTTCAATTATTGGTGCAATAATTTGATTGTACCATTACTACTCGGATAACCGTAGTAATTCTAGAGCTAATACATGCGAAAAGTCCCCACTTCTAGAAGGGAGGTATCATTTGCAGGTCTTTTGAACGGTCACTACCAAAACTTTTGCAGCTGATAGAAAGAGAGTGAAGAGTAGAAGATCAGATAGCGAGAAAAGAAAGAGAGAGAGAAAGAGGAAAGGAAAAGGAGGCAGGACAAAAATCGCAACGCATCAGCAACGCATTTTACTTTATGCGCATGCGCTGAAGTAAAATGTTGCTCTATAGAAACTAGTCGAAAATCTAGATGAACTGTAAAATATTGCATTCCTAGCAAAATGTAGTGTAATTTAGCGACATTGCATGTCAAAAAACCATTTGACGGTAAAAAATACTGCTTGTTTGGAGCAAAATCAAGCATGAAAGGGTAAATTTGTAAGTTCACGTGTGACTTTACAAAATTTGCATGGCAACGTTTGGCGCGAAATTTCTCGATACAATAAACTAGTCAAAAACCAGGGGCTTCTGTCAAAAACCCATTCAGCGTAATTTGTCACCCATGATATTAAAAGGTAACCAAATGATAAACTCGTAAAATTTTGAAATAATTTCACTTAGGTTTTGTCAAATTTCTAATAATTTTCCTCGCCCAAGACTCGGAAAATTACTAGAATTTTGACAAAGTGCGCGTGAAATTATTCGCTAATTTCACTCGTTACCATTTGATGGAAAAGGCGACATAACTCCGCCGAGATTCGAACCCACGATGAGGTCTAAGATCACGACTCAGATCTATTCAGTTTGTCCTTCAGGGGTAACATATAACTAATAAACATTTATCACTGCCCTGAAAATTATCATCTTTGATGGTCTTTCATTGTTTCTCATACACTTAACAAGATGTGAGTTTCAATTTTATTTTTAATAATTTTCCTCACCTGTCTCTATTATTCTACTTAGAAAAGGCGAATAATTACAGCGAAAATGTGATCAAAATGGTATTCAAATCGATTATAAAGTTAAACAACACACAAAAAAGAAAGCGCACTTTTTATAAGTCAACTTTTAGCGCTGCGACAGACTGCAAGTTTCGTGGCAACTTTTGTCGAGATAGTTCAGTCGAGGGGCAAGCGAACAGCATCTTCACCGAAGTGCGCATTATGTCTCCGAGAATCGTGTCTGCCGAGCAGCGGTGTTCGTTTACGGGTAGCGAGGTAACAGGGCATATCTTGAGAGTAACAATTCAAGCCGACCGAACAACTTTCGTAATGCTTTGCACTTTCCGATTAAACGAAGTGAATCGGAATTTGTTAGGGTTTATTTGCAAATACTTTCGACCGAAGTTGCCACGGAAGTTGTATGCAACTCGACTTGCAGCGCTTTTTTGAAAGAGTTAAAACTCAAAGTCATGTTCAGTCCATTTAGAGATACCAAGCAAACACCTCAACACAGGATTCACCATCATTATCATCTTCGCTGACACCGACCAGATCTTCTCCGTACCAGATTTCTATTTGTTGGCCATATTGGACGAATTCCGGGTTGGCGAAATCGTGGAAGACAAGGAACGGAGAATCGGGTTCGAAACCCGGAAGCGCGTACCACATGGACATTGACTTGTTCCGGATGAACTTCTCGCGCGGAAACAAAACCCGTTCGGACGACGTGGTAATGAATGTACCCAGGGGAGTCTTACCGACATACGGGTGCCTTGTCGAGCATCCCCATTTGCTGGCGAATGAGCCGTGGCTAGCATGGCAGTCATCTTTTTCGCAGTTCACCTGACCTCCAGTGTGTACCACTTTGAAAGCAGCCAAAAAGCCTTCCTTTGTGATGGTGAATTTACCTGGCTTATTACCTTTGGCACCGAAGCAGGATTTCGTTACATTTAGTCTATTCCACCGACCTAAAATCAAGAGATAACTAAAGTTATTTTGAGATAAAGAAACAACAACAACAACAACAACAGAAAGCCTGTTTCAGGCTCTTGTCTACAAAGGAGGATCAGGGTCAGCCCAAGTTTAGGCCCCGTCCACATAACGCCAGAGAAATTTTTTTTTCCACATTTTTATTTCCATTATTAAATACAAAGTACAGCGCTAATATTAAGTGTCAATAACACGCCAGAGAAATTTAATAACGGTGTTTCAACTCTGAAAACGCATCACATGTTTTCCGTCCACATAACGTCAGAGAAGTTTAAAAACGTTGTTTTCACTCTGAAAACGCATCACATGTTTTCCGTCCACATAACGTCAGAGAAATTTGAAAACGGCATCTTCACTCTGAAAACGCATCAAATTTTTCTGTCCACACTACGCCGGAGAAATTTGAAAACGCAACAAACATCGGTCATTGTGGGCAGGAAAATTACTACACGATTATCGTCACCCCATCGTTTTCGAAAAGCCCCATTTACAAAATGTTTTCCGTCGAATCGAAAGCGAAAAACCTGTGTTTTCAAAATCCTCCGGTCTGAAGCACTGGGTCTGAAGAGCGTTTTCGAAAAGCTCCGTTTTCGTGGCGGATTAGTGTGGACGGTAGGCCTAACCGTAGAAATAAAGCTGCGTTTATAAATTTCTCCGGCGCAGTGTGGACGGGGCGTTATCGCGTATGGCAGCCGTAGCAAGGAAATGATGACGCTGTTGTGTGGAACTGAATGAGCGCCGCCCCGCAGAGCCAAGCGAAAACTGAGAACGTCCGAATTGCGAAGGAGACAAAACAGAACAAGAGTCTATGCAGAGGGCAAGAGTTTTTTTTTTTTTTTTTCATTCTCCTCCGTACCTCCGTATTGTTACTTCCAATATTTTAAACACAAATTGTTATTTGCCCGAAATCCGACGGATTGGAAGAGATTACACAACGCATTGATTAGCTTAAGTAATGTCTTTCTTCAAGGCTACTGCGTCAAAGTGTTAATCAAAGAGACATCCTACGCATTTTAAACTTTGGCCCGGCGTAACAGCTCGTTTCTCAGAGGAAAGCACGAAAAGAAATTCAGGTCATGATCATTGTCTTCAGGCTTTAGGGAACCTCAAAATATTATCAGCTTAGTTGACTAAAAAAAAAAAAGGAAAAACAAAATGCCAGGGCGGTAGCTGACAATTAATTAAATAAGAACCAGGAATGGAGATTTTTTTTTAGCTTAGGGAAGATTAAGAAAGATTACAAACATCATTTGATTCGTGTTCCCTCAAGGTAAAGGGTTCTTGGTTCTAATCCAACTAAAAATAAAAAAAACGAACTGCGTTTTTTCACTAAAAATTTTACGATCCCTTTATACGTCATTCTTGAGGGATATCAAATGTGAGACTAAAAAAGGTATCCAATGTCCCTTATATCATTAATTGCCCTTAAGGCTGTCTGAAGCATATTTACAATTAAAAAGTTTCATCCACCTTTGGACGAAAATTGACGGGCCTTTTTGGGAATAGTTTTGATAACATCTCAGATTCTAAGAAAACTTGGTATGCTACGAAAACTGGATAAATCGCTTTTCAGTCAGAAAATAATTAATGCACTCGACTCGTTACTGGCCGAGGTAATTCTCATAAAGAGAGAGCGAAATGGCAAGGTTTTTCGATTATGCAATGAAATCTGGCTGATAAGGGGCTCGTGCCGAAAAACCACGACGCAATGAAATAAACTTCTTTAAAACTAATCTTGAAAACTGTGATTTAGATAAAGAGAGTGTTATACAGGCCTATAATAGTGTCTAGTTTTGACGAGCTAGGCTAACAAACTAGGGTCTTACTTGGCATTTTAGGACACATCTTTTGCATTCCCTGTCTTAAAGAGCCTGCCTCTTGCTTGAGTAATGTCCTCAGCTGTACTTCTTGCTGCTGGGAAAATTTGCTGCAACATCCATTACTCGCGGACGAGCCTTGGTAGAACAGAGAGGCTATCGCGCTAAATAACAGAAGGAAATTCACCATGTTGATTTCGCTGCGGCTGTAGCTTCGTCCGTGCTCTCTGACGTGCGACCCTTAGATGATCCTTATCAGTGTTAAATGAGGAAGGGGGCTTAGTAGCGCGCTTTTAAAATACAATTTGCGCCTGGAGCTGTTAAGAGGTTTTCATCGGCTGAAGAAAAACTGCGCAGATCCGTCTGCTTTAACGCTTCCTTTGAAATTCGATAACAACGGATTTGTCTGTCTAGAGGATTATTGCACGGGGGGGTAGATAAAAGGCAGCGATATTTTTGAGGATATCACACCTAAACCAAGGCCAAAAATACTGATTATATTGTAACAAATCAAAGTGTCAGTTTCACGGTCAGAGTTTCGGAGCTTTTGTAAGTCACCAGGGAAAATTTTAAGATCAGGAATTTTTTTGCTTGAATACATTGATCTTCTTGACTACAACACCGTGTATTTTCACTCTTTGTCCCGCAGACCAGAACACACTAACATTTCGAAATTATGCCGCAAACTATTTGTACTATCGATGTTATTCAAAAAGCCCATACATCTCTGGAAATTTTGGTTTCGAAAGTAGGAATTGAACGCTTTGCAAAACATGCCGCTGTTCAGTTTAAAGAGCAGGTATTCCCAGCATGTTATTCTTGCGGGATTTATTGTTTGCTTGCCACGTAATTGAGCAACACCTAAGAAGGGAACAGAACATGTTCTAAATATTTTCAGTTTTCTGGAAGCAAATGTTTTAGATCATTCGGCAAATCCTTTGTTTTTGTAGAACAAAATAGACAACAAAAACACGACAGATTTTCCTTCTATATAATTTATGACGTACATAAAATTGACTGCTCCTGCTGTCCTACTTAAGAACAATTAGAGAACGGTTACTAGAGAATGATCTAAAACATTCGCGTACACAACTCTATTTTTTTCATGTACAGAGCCGGCTTCAAAAGTTTTATGGCAAATAGTTTGCACGACCCATTTTCAGAGGAAAGTTTTGCTAAAGGTTCTTCTACCACGTAAGTCGTAGTTTTCGTGAAGAAGACGTGGTCCTTTCCATTGTTCTTTTGATTGACACTTGGGGTCAAACTCTAAAGATAGCTTTGTTTAAAATCTTCTTTTCCTTGTAATGTCGCGCATTTGTGGGTTGTTTTAGTACTCCATTTGTTGCGTTGTTTTAACTTGTTGAACGAAATCGGGTTACAAATCGCTTTTTTATCTTGGCGCTGCACTGAAAGCTGAATGATACTGTACCCTAATTCTTCGTGCTGGCTTGTTTCTTGTCGAGTTGGAATTTTATGAACGCAAAGAAAACAAACGCGAATTTAACCCAAAGATCGCCCCCGCGCACGTGTTAGGTCCCGGGTTTTTGGTCTACTAAACGGAACATTCACACAGACGAAAACACGGGCCCAGCTAACGTGACAAAAGTACTTCATATCAATGTGTTTACTTCGTTCGAATAAAATGAAAAGTATTTAAAGCTGTTAACATTATTTTGTACCTCGCGTTTGGGGGATGTTGGAATTTTCCAGCCCACCAGAAATTACGTAATGCAAATCTTTATTGTGTTTAGAACTCAGCTGGAGCGAACCTTGCGGGAGATTCACGTCTACTGCACAGAAAAAAAGTTTGGCTCAAAATGCACGCAATAAACATTGCACCCCTAGAATCTCTGACGTAGCCTTGATTAAATAATATAGCGGAATATTGCTTCACTCTCTAGGAATTACATATCTAATACATTGTCAAAGTCATGAATGTTGAAGTGTTAAATGAAAGAGGCAAGTCGCGTTGTAAATTTGGATTCTTCATCGTGCATGCGTTGTACCTTTATCCAGACGGAAGTGGGATAAACTAAATAAAAATAATAATGCACTAAACAGCTGATAAAAACTTTCGCTCTGACAAGCTCTATGTCTTCCAGTGGCTTGTTTGCTTCTTGTTTTAACGTTCAGGTAGATAAAAAGGCCTTTGTTTCACTGACCTACCACCCCGTACCACTTGTATGCAGACTGAACGGTAAATCTTAGCTGTAGAAGATCAACACCTAACTTTCGTGCCGTTATCCTAACGCTAAATCTCCCACACTCGTACTTGATGGTTGACAGGGAAAGAATAGTAATTTACTTAGATAAAACGTGGTAGAACCCCGGGGGGGTTACTTTGGGAATTTCTGGGTAGGGGTGTGCCGCTGGGACTCTGGAACCCAGAACTAGTTCAGCCGAATTTTGCTACCCTATTCTAGAGTAAACTCCCCAAATCCCCCCATCTATCGACACTGTTGAGGCTGATTTGCGTAAGTTTAAACTTGCCGATTTGATT